TTATGGTAATTTGTAAAACTATTTTCTACTGAGTACCAATTGCTGCATAAAGCATTCGAGAAGTCCACCCTATTTGTCGACATGCTCTTATCATTTTTTGATATTTTATAATTTTCTTTCTACTCAGAATGCATTATTGGATCATATGGCAGTTTCTGTAATCAGTCTTGCTCCGTTAACTGCAAAAACAGTGTTTGTGACAAGAGCAACGGCCGGTGTACAGGTAAGCAGACATTCTCTTTCTTAGACTATTTACCTTGCAATCAATGAGAAAGTCAAAATTTAAAATTCGAATATCATTAAATTTACGTTACACAAGAAATTGAACAACTTTGTATATAACGTGTATAATTAAAAAAAAGTTATATAAATAACCATCGACAAATTGATTAATTATTTACGCAATTTTGATAATAAATCACATTTAACATATCACTTTTATACATTGCAACTTACCATACCTAGTTATTAAACATTTTCAAATTGATCACGCCTGTCTGATTTTCGAAGATATTGGTTTTAATGACTCATACAACTAAATCATTTGCTATATGTTATTACCAAACATTTTAGCTAATAACTTTAATATTTGAAGTTCAAAACCAGTAAAAAACTGTCTAGATTCATAAATGCATACCTTGCAAAGGCTACACAATGACTTTTTGGTAGGTTTAGTGGCATATTTGAGTGTCACAGCGCCAAGAAGTTGACAACCGGAAGTTTACAAGCAAAACCGGTCACACAAAACAGAAACGCACCCACATATCTGTCCCTGTGGAAATCCACACACAGACATAGAAATGTATCAAAAGTATACATTTTTCTAAAGTTAAATACCTGAACATTTCATTTATCTGAAAAACTGTCATCAGTTCCTTATTAAACTCCTTCAGTGGCCTAGTAATTAGCCGGAACGTATTATAGATAGGAACTACAAACGTATGAAAAACTTGCTGATTGGCTGATTTAGTTGTGTGAGTCCTTTAAGGCCAATGTACAGGTGACCACGTACAATCAATTTGCGAAAATTATTAGAAGCCATTTTTGGGATCGACTTCACTCAATATGCTCATTTAAATGACAGGTTTAGGGAAAGATTGTGAATCATATTGTTAAACTGATTTCCTCTCTGTTTCCAATAAGACGTCTATGTGAACATAACTGAGAATAAACCTTGCTTTTAAAACCAGCATACTAATGCAAATATTTGTAATTTTTTCATCTAATTTTGATTAAGGCGTGTCTTAACGTATTTGATGCAGTCAATATGAGAGATTTTAAGATATCAATTAAAACGCATAAAGGTAGTGACTGAGCTTATCGATAGACTAAAACAATGACATTAATGAATTGCATTGGTTGATTGACACATTGCTGCAATTAAGACGGCTATTTTCAAATCAACAGCAGTTATCGATAAGCAATCAATACAATGGATCTGTCATCGCTCACCTGCATTTCACATAAGCTAGATCAGTACATGATCTATCATATGACTTTCTGTTGTTGATAATCACAATCTTCTAAAGGTTCCTTGTTGATAAACGCTGTAAAGTGGGAAAGTTTCATTTTTGCCAATGGAAAACAGGTAGGATCAAGTCGATTCTTTCTTTAATATTCCTTGGCTAGACAGAAACTTGATATTTTCAAAAAAGAAGCATTAATCTATTTTTACGTCATTTGTAAATTAAATATTAAAAGAAGAAAAAGCAATCATTCAAATTAAAGAGTTCGACTTTTGTATATTTGAGTTTTTTGAAGTTTCTTCTTGTTGATGAATAATAAGAGTAATATGTTTTGAGCAGCGTGATGTTTGCTTCATTTCAGACTGTAATGGTGGATACTACGGATCAGCCTGTACACCATGTCCTGTTGGCTGTAGTAGTGGTGAATGTGACAACACGTCCGGACAGTGTGTTCGTAAGTTGTATTCATGTGAAATGATATTTTCAAAAACATTTGGTACATGTACACGAATAAAACTCCACTTGGACGAGCAGGTGACTCAAAATATCACGTCCGATGCGGGATTTGAACCACAAGTTTTTTTCAAGAGGTCTAATATGGGAATAAAATTTCAAACGACATATTTTGAAAAACTAACATGCCATTGGGCATGATGCTTTGCTTGTATCGTGCTGGTATGAATGGCTATCCAATTTATTCAAAACAACGCCTTTGATTTTCCTTAATAATACAGGGGTCAAATTTGCGAACACCTTTAAGCAACCTTTTTTTAACAAGAGCTGTCACCGAGGGGAAGTATACCCCTCGCATATAATTGTGCATCAGTTGTATAACGACAATGGAAGTGTCATCCTCTGTATTCTGGTTTAATTTGATCCATTTTTTAATTATTTTTTTTTGTGTGGCTACCTTAACTATCAATTTTATCACTTTCGTCGAGAGCACATTTTCCCGCCATTTTCTCGATAAAGAAAGCGGAAGTGTGATAATAGTAACAAATACGCTTCAGAGTCTAGCCTTATTTTAAACTCAGAAACGACTGAGATCAGGATATTATAATTAAACGATGCGGAAACGCGTAGAAATAAGAAAAAAAAACATTCAGTGAATAGGCCAAATTGTATGGCGTATTACTGCCGCTACACAAAAAGTTTCAAAGAAATCTATTAAAAAATTAGCAAATGCATAGCCGGAAAACATTTTCTAACTTGAAGGGGCATAATGTTCTTAAAAAGGTCCGATACGCAAAAGTATTTCAGGAGACACAACAACATATGGTACGGCCACTACACGAACAAATTCAAAGTAATATATTAAAAACTGAGCAAATGCATAACTGGGCAAGGTTTGTCAAATTGTTAACGTAAAGGGGCATACTCCCTTAAAAAGGTCCGAAACATAAAAAAAAACCAGGAAGTACAACATATGGTACTGTCAATACAAAAAAAAAGTTTCAAAGAAATCTATTGAAGTATGAGCGAAAGCATAGCTGGACAATGTTTTGTCAGTTGTTATACGTAAATGGGGTATAACTCCATTAAAAAGGTCCAAAACGCATAATTATTTCAGGGGGCACAACTACATATCGTACTGCCACTACGTATTTTTAAGAAATCTATTGAAAAATAAGCGAATGCATAGCCGGACAAATTTTGTCTATGGACAGACGGACAAGCCAATTCCAGTTTAACATCCCCTCCGACGAGGAATGAAGAGTGCGTACTGCACATTGTGATTCTTATGTATATTCGCTGCATCGCACAGAAGAAAGATTTGATTGTATCGGTAGTAGATCAATTTAATAAGTCAGGCAAACCTAATACATTAAATGAGTAAAGTATTGCTGTAGATAATGTCAAATTGACAAGTCTTGTTTCGATTTTTGTTACGTAATGATACAGTAATACAATCTTCCAACATAGCTGCATACTGGCATTATATGTAGAGTGATGTTATTTAGCTATGTAAGAAACACTTCCGTTAACCAACTGTGAAGATCAAAGACGATTAACAGTTGAGCAATTCAGGGTCTCTTGATTGTCAACTGGCAAGCGTGATTTAGTGTGATTTATAGGAGTATTATTATTCAGAAAAATGTATTTTTTTGTGATAAATATCGTCCATATGAGATTTGATAATTCTTCATATTTTTTCAGAATGTGATGATGGATTCTACGATAGTTTCTGTAACCAGTCCTGCCCTGTTAATTGTAAAAACAACGTTTGTAACATGGTCAACGGTCAGTGTACAGGTAAGCCGGAAATCCATTTCATCAAGAATTAATACTAGTTTTTTAAGAGAAAAACAATCTTTTCATTAGTGATCATCAATTGGGTCTAAGTAAGCTTTGTTATAACGTGTAAAATTGCAATAGCTATAGAAATTATCAATTCAACCTACTGGTCGGTGAACAAAGTATAAAGTACACTTAACTAACAGACGCTGTTAATGCATCAACGATTGCCTATTTGTTGAACATATTTTATGTTTATTTCCTTTGATGCTATAAGTAGCTGTGAAAATACGAAATGAAAATAAAATATGAGGGATAAATCAATTCATTGATGTGTTAAAATAGGCGATAAAACAAAGAAATATATGCCATTTTTTTTTTAGCTATAAATACACTCTACCAGCAATGGACCAGTAATGATACGTTTTGAAAATAAAATCAAAAATGATCAAAACACAGGTTTTAACAAAACATGTTCACGTATTCGAATACTTGAGTTAAATCGTGACGATGTTTTTTCACTAAATACCCATCAATGGTACCACACTTGCTCACATAAACTTGAAACAAAAGCTATACATTTAAATTTTGTTAAGACGAAGTCAATTCCAAAGGTAATTTGTATTAACGTGTATACATCCTGTTTGGCGACAAAGTCAACGCAGGAAATCTACTGTTTATTCTGTAAAATTTTGTATGGAAAAAAAGATCTTATAAGCCGGAAAGAACCAAAAAGATAGCTAACCATGATTTGATCATTCGATTTTCTTTTGTTAACGAAAATAACAATAAATATTTGATGCTTACCTGATATTCGCTTTATATTTACCGTTTTATGTATTGTGTGCGTTTCATCATATGCTCTCTTATACTTGATATGATGAACAATGCTTTAGGTGAGAACACAACATAACTTGTAAAAACAAGTTAAAATAACTATACCTTTGCATCAAATAATAATACGCTTAAGTAATTCAGAGATATGTAAACAAAGCAAAATGACGTTAGTGCCTTTCAAAATTTCTTTTTTAGTTTATCACTAGTTGCTCCATATTTATTTTCTTAGTGCATTTCACTTCAGTTATCGGTATTAACAAAATTAGAATGATTAAGTTTTAGATCAGGAATAACAAGTATACTTATATTAAAGTAATCTTTGCCAATATAATACTTCAGAATGCAAAGCCGGATATCACGGTAGTACCTGTACTCAGACGTGTCCTACCAATTGTAAAGACAACATATGTATCCAGGATAACAGGTTTTGTACAGGTAATAATACTATTGATAAAATGTTATGATTTCATAATTAGCATTTAGCTATTTTGTTATATTAATTTTAAACAAGCATCCAATGATTCATTTGTCATACATTTGAAAATGTGATTAGAAATAATTTATATGTTGAATATTCATTTTCAATTTGTGAAGTGAAGTTTTGTATACATGTATCAGATGATAACAGTAAAAAAAGAAACAGGTGAGCATTTCTTTTTCATTATACAAATGATACACGTTAAGCAAAAATTGACCTGTTAGAAATGTTGTAAACATTAGTTTTATGGAATATATGGTTCAAGTTATTATTCCTTCCCCGAAACCTGGTTTCGTCACCAAATTATATTTTATATTGATGGTTTGGAACACCTTTAATCCGTTGTTAATGCACACTTTATAAATACGTATGTGGATGGTGGAACACCTTTATTCTATCAAAAATACGCACTTTGTTGCATAAACCAATGTTTATGATTCCAAGGAATTTCTTTGTTTCAGAATGTGCTGTTGGGTATCATGGCGATCAATGCGATATGAATTGCCCGTTCAACTGCAAGGATAAATTTTGTAACCAGACTAATGGTCGGTGTATAGGTATGTACTGTGAGACTGATAATTCATGTGCAAGTTTATACTACGAAATTGATCTTACATGTACAGGTAGGCACTGTGAAATTGATCGTAAATATATAGGTAGGTAATGAAAAAAACTTCTTACATGTACTGGTATCGTATGTACTGATAACCTGATCTTATATGTATATATATAATGTGTAACTGATCTTATATGTACATGAAGATACTGTGAAACTAATCGTTCATCTATAGGTAGGTACTGGAAAATATCGTACATGTACCTGTTTGTACTGGGAAGCTGATCTGATATGTATTTACTGAGAAACTGGTCCTACAGATCTGTAGTGAGAAACTTATATGACATGTACAGGTACATGTACGTGATGGAAATCTGAACTTATATATACAGATGTATACTAAGAAACTCATCTTATATGTACCGATACATATATGTACTGAATCAAACAAAATATCTTACATGTACCAGTATGTACTGGGAAGCTAATCTGATAGGTACATGTATTTACTAGGAAACTGATCGTACTTGCACAGGTATGTGCTGTGACATGTAAAGGCATGTACTGGAAAACTTATCGTATATGTACAGATATGTAATGAAACATTTTCTTACATGTACATGTTGGTACTAGAAGTAAACGTGTTCCTCCTCTATGTTAGTTATGGGATGGTATGAATAATATATTCCTTAATTTGTACCTCAAGGATGTGGACCAGATTACCATGGCAGCGACTGTTCTCTGAATTGCCCGGACAACTGCAAGGGCCATGCTTGTATTCAGGAGAACGGACGATGCATAGGTATTGTGTGGAAGTAGTTGGAAATCTTGATATGTACTCATGTAGTGCATTGCCTAACGTGCTTTATTATATTTGATAGTGTAAAAGCGATGCCGTACCGTGAGTAATATATGTATAATGTTTTTACTCGATGTCCTTTTCAAACAAAAATTGTAATTTGAATTCTGTGACATGATGCCATGAGGTGTGACGTCACAAATGAGACGGTTGGGATATACAGCTAGATACATTTTCACCACGTTTTAGTATTATACATATAAAACACCTTTCATGGTATGACTTTTCGACATCGATAAGCGGGTAGGTTTAAATCTAACCATGTTTTTGTCAAAATAGTACAAGTTATCTTATGTCTTGTTTTGATTATTAACTTTAGTGTCAATACTATTGCGAAACTAATATCTACTTGCATGATTTATGCAAATGTTTGCATTAGTTTAAGCAACGAAATGTTATTATCTG